ATTAAAACGAAAGTTGCCAGCTAAGACGAGAGAACGGGATGAAGTTACGTAAGATACATTAGGATGTATAGATCATGTATAGTATCAACGTGTATTGGGCACCTTGGACGTTTGACCCCGACCAGAGGGCGTATGATCCGATGAACTGGACACCAGCACCCAATAGAAAGCGGTCTTCACACACCGCCCTGCTGCCTTGCGGGTCAGGCTTTGGCTAATCGAAGGATCCGGTTGTGAATTTCTCAAGAGAATTCATCTGCCTCGGGTTGGGCAATTTCCCGCATTCCACCCACATGAAAAACCCTGGAACTCTTTTTCTTTTTAAAGATTATTACACTATTTAGATGGTGACTGTTTGGATCAGTCCATTCGGTTTTTCACAGGCAACAGGCACTGTTGGTGATGTTAGTTGTGAGTTTCACCCGTTGGCAGATTATCAATTCCCTAGTTTGCATGCATTTAAATGCAATGGAAATGTTTGTGATAACGAACAAAGAGCACTGCACAGCTGTTTCGTCCTGTTTGGGACACGTCAGCAGTGCGTACTTTGTGTCCCTGTCAGGACTCGAAACGCGATTCGTCGGGTTGAGACTTCAAACCCTTACCCTACACGGCCGATGGTTATCACGTTGTGCGAATGGCTCAATCAATGTGTCCTGACAGGGACACAAAAGGTACGCACTGTTGACGAGTCCCAAACAGAACGAAGCAGCTGTCCAGTGCTCTTTGTTGGTTATCACAAACATTTCCATCGCATTATTGTACTATGATTTGATTGGCACACAAACTGGATTCAGGCAAGTGTAAAATACAATACAATAGAACACCCGCGAAAATCTCACGTCTATCGCGTATACTGTATTCATTTCCCCAGACAGGATTAGATGACATTTGTTGGATCACATACAAGTCAGATAAAACAAACGTTGTTTAAAATGGTATGTTCTTAGGTTCGAAATAAAAATGTATGGATTGAACACTTTTACTTGTAATTTGTTTCAAACACCAAGGTAATAAATGACAGCCCGTGGATTTCTGCCCACTCCATGCCTAGCTGAAACTGTTAATGAAGAATAACCCTGGGTCCCAAAACAAAACAAAAACGTAGACGATCTATGCCTACATTTTAGCCGCTCAGTGGAACCGAACTTACCCTCAAGATCGGGACGGAGATACTCAGGCAACAGTGATACAGGGTAACGTCCGGAGAAATCAAGGATAGAAGTGCTGGCTTCTACAAATAGAAAATAAATGAAGTCGTTTGTTGATTGATTTCCGGCGAAGTGAACCAGAGTTGCCAATAATGAACGTTTCAATAAATTACTGACTTTAATTATGTCACATATGCTCATACTTCAATATCTGAATGTACACAAAAGGTTACAGAGACACAGTCTTCGAACGAAAAAAGATAAAGTGCGAAAGAAACGAGATGACAAGGCGCTCGTGTGTCCCCTGTATGCCCGCCCGTATTATGCTTGTGTAAACCACAAGAATCTCGAAAGCACAAAAACGGCACACAAGGGTGGAGGTTCAGCAAAAATTATTTCACTCAACTGTGAGTATTCAGCAGTGTTCCACATTTTCCCTACGACAAACAACGCCAATGAACGTTGTGTTGAAAAGCGTTGTTTCAAT